AGACAGACAGACAGACAGACAGACAGACAGATTGGGTATTTGGAGGAGGCAGGCATGAAAGAGAAAGTCAGAGTGGATAAGAAAAGGCAAGAAAAAAAGAAAGACTTGAAACTGAAATTTCAATAAGATTAAGAATAGGGCAGGGCCAGGGAGATAGCTCAGTACATTAAGTGCACAAGAGCCTGAGTTCAATCCCAGGTTCCGCAAAAAAAAAAAAAAAAAAAAAAAGGCACCAGCTGGAAATATGAGAGAAGAAACTGTCAACTCTTTGGATTTAAATTTTTCACATAGAGAGAAACCTTATTTCCCTGTGTTGTGTTAAGTTGGGCAGCGGGGCAGCCCCAGGAGCTGAGTGACTGGTGTGGTGTATGATTTTTCTGGGCCTCAACTACTGATCTGTAAAATGGAAACCATAATAGTACCTGCTACCTGTATTGTTGTGAAGATTAAAGACTTAATCCATAAGTAATCATAGAATAACCTGGCATGTGGTAAATGCTCAGTGAATGTCAGGTACGTTTAATGACTTATAAAGTGCTTTACATCTTCTGATTCCTAAAACCTTCATTGATCTACTTTCTTGACTTAAAATAGTAGATAAAAATTAGAAAACAAAGGCTTTTTACCTCACCTTCATATTTTCCCAGTTTTCAGCCATACTTTATTGTAGCAAATTTATATCAATGTATGCCTATAAATATACTAAATGTTTGGTACTTTTATTCCCTTTTTCTCCTCATTTTTCCATCCAAGCAGTAATGTGTAAGTGTACCAAACAAATACCCTTACGTGCCCCTTGCCTTCAGGTCGCCCCTTCCACTGCATTAAGGACCACCAGATCCCAGGAGAAAGTGTTTCGGTTTTCCTGTTGCTGGGCAGCACTGGGGCGCAACTTGGAGGTCTGGGAACTGAGGGAAGACAGACGCTCTGGAAGCAAGCAATTGACACATCAAGCTCACTGATAAATGGAGATGTTTTGTGATAACAAAATGAACTGAGCAAAAGAGGACTGAAAATTACTTATTTCATATATGGTAACAGAACTATTGGGACAAAATGACTTTATTAAAAGGAAAGATTCAATATTCAAATTAACTAAGAAGATGATTAGTGTATAAATGGAAAGACCTGAGTCATTGGTAAAGCCTTAATTACTCCCCTTATTTTCTTCTTTTGCTTCTCTCTTTTTTCCCTAAGACATGGTTAACCAATGAAAAATGTGTTGGTAAGAAAGTGGTAAACTGTAAACTCAGGGAGTGGGTGGAAGCCCCGAAATTTGATCATTAAAAAATGTGGAAAATAAAAAAGAGATGGCAAAGGTATGCTGAACTTCAGATATGGTGTGACCAGCTCACTGGTCAGCTGACAAGAGGTCCTAAGGGTGGTGACAGGGCTGGAGATGATGACATGTCTTACATGCTGGAAAAGCCCAGAGCCTCACACAAGAGAGAAAACCTGCTGGGACAGAGGCATCTTGGTGGGGGAAAGTGAGACTGCAGTGTCACCTGACTGGTTGCCTATCTCCTGTTTTGCCCCTCGTAAGTCCTTCCTTTGTACTGTCTCCTCCTCCTAGCTCTGCTCCCCAACAATCTCGTTCCACCACAGAGCTGGCATTTATGTCTCTGAGAAGGACTACCCCTACCGCCTCCCTGCAGCCTGCTTTCCATGTGTTGAAAGCCCTTTGTGGTCAACCCACCTCCCTAGCCTCCTCGTCTTTGGGTACTGGCCTTAGAGCTTGGGCTCAGGCTCCTTCTCAGACATGCCATAGTGTTCTGTCACTTCTATCCTTTGCTAGCTATCTAGCCTTGAACAATACATCAATTGTTTTGGGACCGACATTGCTCATCTGTAGAATGAGGATATAAAAGAATAACACCACCCTCCTAACACTGCAGCAATTAAGTGGGTTAATTAATGTATGTACAGCTCTTGGAAGAATGCCTGGCCTATAATATGAGCTGCGGACAGGTTAGGAACTTTGTGCTTTTGTTCTTAATCATTGTTCAGAGCCCAAGTTTATTAATTCTTACTATTTCACCCATAATTACCAGAAACTTACCAACTTAAAACTTTATTCCCTCCCATTTTCTATAGGTCAGAAGTCTGGCTAGGGTGTAGCTGGATTCTTTGTGCAGAGTGAGCCTTTTCTAAACTTTTCCTAAGCTCATCCAGTAGTTAGCAGAGTCCATCTCTTTGCAGCTATAGAGCTCATAGCCAGCCAGAACTTTGACTTCATTTTCTTCTTAAAGGCTCGCTTCATTAGCTCAGGTCCAGTCAGATCATCTTTCTTTTGGTTATCTCAGAGCCATCTGGCTAGGAAAAATATCCATAGAGTGATAGCCTATCTTATTCACAGGTTTCACTCATAGTCAAGGGAAGAAGATTTCGTAGGGCAGGCATGTCATGGAACAGGATCCTAGAGGGCCTGGAAATCTGCCTACACAGTGGAGAATTGGAAAGACTACCTTGCCTGTCTTTTTGTTGAGCTGCAGTTGGGTGACTACTTGATTTGGTAATCACCACCATCATTTCACACATGCACAGCATCTTTCTGACAGTATTGGCTAGGTTCTTGCTGGAGTTTCTCCTATGCCTGCCGTTTGCTGTGCCGTAGCTTTCACTAACTGGTGAGTCAGCTGGCACCTTCAAGATCTTCTAGGAAGAGAACAGTTAGAGACCTGTAACTGATAAACCTGTTGGCCGACGCTCGAGTGCCCGGATACCCCACATCTTCAGGCACTTTCAGACCATTCAGTCAGTCTTGATGATCACAGCAGATGAAGACTGGAACCCTCTCTCCTTGTCAGGCCAATTCCAGTCCTGCCTGCCACTCTGCTAGTGCACAGAATATTTTATCTACTTGGGAATTTTTTCTTTTGAGGGAAGACTGCATTATTTTCAGACTTTCCTTGCTCTTCTTTGTCCTTTCCCAACTAAGTCTAGGTTTTCGTTTTCTGCTTTGCTTTTAATTCAGTTTTTAGTCCATGAAGATATTATCAGTCAAGAACCATAAAGAATGTATAAGGATGTAATATAAGAAAAACCTGATAAAGATGAGAAAATCTCTTGGGTAATGAAAACTATTACTATTATCTCTATAATACCAATTTGAATCTGGTTCTAGGCAATAGGATATAAGCAAAGAATTTTGAAGTGATGGAGACTGCCTGGTTTAAAACTACTATTCCCTAAGATGCTAAATTCCCCTTTCCAAATGGCATTTTACTTGTTTTATAGAAAGGTGTGAAGTTAAAATGGAAAAATGGATTTGGCATGGTTGTGTGTTTGAAAGTTTAAGTATTTATTCTGGCATTTCCTAACGAAACATAATTTTGTTATGCAACACTATGATTTAGACACAACTCTAGCAGTCTCAGTGAATAGTATTCTTCCAGAAATTTGAGCTATTAACAGTGAAGGGCTGGTTCATAATGATAATCTACTCTAACATGGAGTGGAACATCTTTTCTTTCTTCCAGGATAATATCATCTTATTCTTGAGAGGTTGTAAAGAGCTCGGCCTTAAAGAATCTCAACTCTTTGACCCGAGTGACCTCCAGGATACTTCCAACAGAGCAACAGTCAAGTAAGTAAAGCATGATTTATGTTTAAGGGAAACCTCTTGATGGTTTGGTTTTCAGTTTTATGATGATTTTGTAAGTTCTAAGAGGCAAATACTTGCGTATGCCTAATAAAATAAAAATATGAAGGCACAAACCAAGTTTTCAAATAAGACACACTGCACTTCTACTGCCCTTCTGTCTGTATGGGTTTCATTCTGCTCAAGTAGACTTTTTCAAATACAAGAGTCATATGTATAGAGTTAGAATTTTCTTTTCTTTCTTTTTTTGTACTAGAAATTGAATACAGTTAGAATTTTGAAGAAGAGAAAAATGTTAAGTAAAGTTGAACAGAGAGGCAAGAGAAAAATATGCACAGAATGTTTGTATGTTAGACAAAAACCTTTTATTGGCTCCACTTGGGCATTTGAATAGGCTCTTGGCAGGCCACAAACTAGGTAAACAGTTCTAAACTCTGCTTATTACGCAAAAAAAGAAATTACATTAAGGAGAAACTTCTCCTGAATTTCCATTTGCAACTGCTTTCTCATATGTGTCAGGGAGCAAACTCTATGGAGGAGGATCATGGGCCCTCTGACTGTTATTGACTGTGTCTGCTCAGGGAGCCAAAGTTTGAACCAAAGTATTCTAGGAGAACATCAAAGGGAAAGCAAAGGCAGTTGTACTTCTGTGTAAAGAAATAGCTTGGAAAGAGGGTGAAGAGAGGAAATGTCCCAATGAGATGACACAGGTCACTTTCCTATAGTTTAGGTATTTAGAGCCTACTGGTTTCCTATGGAATATTTTCCACCTTCACTAAGCAATATTTGACAAGACTGTCTTACCAATAAGCTGAATTGCATAGGCAGGGTCTCTGGATTGGTAACTTTTGGGGTGATTTTATGATGAAAGGACAGAAAAGGGAGAGAAACCCAAATTCAGAGCTGTTAATTTTGTAGTATTTCCTGACACTGATTTCATAACCACAGCAATAGCAATATAACGGGGCTGTATGGGGTAATAGAATCCATTCATGAAATAAAGCTTAGGGGTTTGTACCGGATTTTCTGATTCATGACTGAGAATAAGGAAGAGATCCACTGTCACTGATCATCTAGATTACTTGTCTGCTGTCAATGTGCTGTTCTCTAACATTTCTCATGGAAAAAACTTAGTTAAGTAGAGAACTCACTGAATAAGAATGAATGTATTTGAACATAAAAACTCCCATAATCCTCATTTTACCCATCACATGCTGCACTTATTACTGTACCTAAATCTGGCCACTGTAAATCTTTGTTCATTTGGGGAAACTGTGTTAGGTTCTGCCTTGTCTGACAAATTCATGGCTTCACCTGGTTGCAAGTGGCCAGAAACAACAGGAGCTGTGCGTGTGGACATCAGTCACACACACCACTCAGATAGGGAAGGAAAGCACACCTGCATGCTGCAGCTGCATTTGGGCTTTTTTGAGCCATTTTTAACAGTGAATTGCTAAGCTAGGAGTTTATGGTTGGCTGGTTTTAGAAATGCATGAAGCATTTTGCTTACATACAAAAACGAGGCCTCAGGAGATGAGGGTGTAGCCCTAGGTCTGCAGCTCCCTGGGTCAGTGGCCTTAGTTGTACATAAGTGTTTGGAGTTTATAGTTTCTTTTAATGTGTTTGTTGTTATTATTAAATGAAAAAAAAATTGTAGATGTCTCAGCAGATAATGTATGTCTTTTTCTATTGAAGGCTCACCAATTTTCTTTTTTTTAAGTTTCTTTTTGTTTTTTATTATTAATTTTATTGAGAAACAAAGAGCAATGAGACAGTTTCAAAACAGGTTAGTAGGACAGTTGCAAATAATTAATACATTGTATATTGTTGTCTTCGTAGTGGTTATTCATAGTACAAGATGCAGACGTGATATCCTGTTCGAACACTATTAGTACAAATCTTTCTTCTCATTGAATTAAGAGAAAGTAGCTGTATATCTATCCTAACTATTTTGTATATACAGATACAAAATGGTCCTTCATTTATATCCCCCTTTTTTTGTTTAGTTTTGTCAGAGCTTTCCTATTAAAACCAAAACCATGAAGCCATATTCTTAATCCAATCCAAATTGGATCAATGTTTATTTATTTATTTATTTTTGGTACCAGGAATTGAACTCAGGACCTTGCCCTGCCAGGCAGGTGCCTGAACCACTGAGCTATATCTCTGACCCTCAATGCTTCTGTTAATCAAAGTGCTTGAGGATGGGTTTGTCTCCTCCGCAGAGTACTAGTCCTTTGAATCTCAGCTGACTTGGAGTTGCCCACCTGTTTGTTCCTATGTACTTTGGGCAGAATATGCTGCAAGGAAGTCATCCAAGCCTAACTACTTGATGGAATTCTTTACTGGTTTCTGTCATATAGTTTTTCCATTTCTTTCCTCTTTAGTGAAATTATGGTGAAGGAGAGGATGCAGAAGTTCTTTTAGTATTTATTGCTTGACATGTTATTATAAAAATGAAATAGTTTTGGAGAAAACTTTAATGTTTTTCAATATACTTTTGTTGCTTATAATTTCAGAGTATACATCATGTGTGTTTGAGAATGTGTGCACATGTTTAAACATAGCACACATATTTTCATGTTTTGAGCTAATTCCCAACGTTAATTTATGTCCAGAGCAGAAAAGGACAAATATTTGGATAGTGTTGCTTCTGGTACACATAACTTCATGTCTATTTAATTAAGCTTTCAGACCTTTAAAGGTACTTGCATAAAGATTTTGGAAATGCAGTCATACTTCACAAAAGGCAGACTCTTCAGTCCTAAGCCTGAAAAAGTCAACTGTAAATGGTCAACTCTTCATTTTCCAGATACAACAAAGTTTATCTTTTCAGGTTGCATGGTGGAACTTTTTTCCAACCTTGTCCTACTTGTTCAGTAAACAATTTTAGTCAGTGTCTGAAATCACCAGGCCTTTAAAAACTAACTATCCTTGTATTTCCTGTTGTGTCCATTCCGTTGCTCTCATTGCTGGGACAAAAATACTGACACCCAAAATTAAGGAAGAAAGGGCTTCAGTTAGCTCACAGTTTGTGGAGATTTCAATCCATACTCAGCTGGCTCCAAGGCAGAGCAGGACATGGCAGAGGACAGCACTTGATGGCAATAGAGAACAAGAGCAAAAATAGCAAGAGCGAAGGGGGAGGAGCAGGGGCAGAGAACTAGCCTCTCTCCTTTCCTTCTTTTGCATTCAGCCTATCTGCCCCGGGCCGGGTGTAACGCTGCCATCGATAATCCCAGATTCGATCATGAATGAATCACACACTCTGGAAGCCGCCCCCTTGACTCCATGAGGCTTCAGGAGGACGTGTAGACACAAACCATACACCTCTGGTGTGTTCAAGTTCAACTCAGAGATGTTTAAGGAATGATCACAGTGAATAAACGGCTCATCTGACATCATTTCTTTTCCTTTTCCTATCATAGGAATCCTGATTATACAAGGAAGCTGAAAAATGTAAGTGTTTTAACTTCCTTCTGCACCCATTACACTAATGGCTCATGTACAATATAAAATTTAGCAAATTCAGTGCCTCCCATGGACTTGCTGAAAGAGTCCTTTCTCTTGAAGCACTCATTCTAGAAATAAACAAATAAAAGCTTGTGTTCCATTAGTGATTCTGTTTCTTAAAACATAAAATGATCAGCTCAACACCAACTTCAGCTGATTTCCATTTGTGGGTCCAGATGGGATTATTAAATTAAAAAATTGGGCAAACTGTTTTAGAAAATAGTCAGCATAAAATGAATAGTGTTGACTTTTGTGGCCCTGTCCTTATTGTGATTTTTTTTCCTCTTTATCTTTGGAGTTCTTACTAGTTCTTGGCTAAATCAACTTTTTGTAGTTAAATCTTATTTTCAAGTAACAGTTGTGTTCATGCTTTTCATTTTAAATTTAAATTGGAATTTATAAGAAGTAACCTATATCTAAAATAGAAACTTAGCTGTGACCTCTTTTTTTTAATTTCCCAAATGCTATTTGATTGACATTCTCATTTTTTAATCTTTTTTTGTCCTTCATACAACTAGAGACATGTACCATATTTTTAATCATGCAATTTTAAACAAATCAGAAAACTCATGATTGAAACTACAGCATGGTCTAGTTTCCATTTCCTTATTATATCTTCCAAGACTGGCTCACATACATTTGTTATTTTATGGTCCTAGCTGGTGTTTTGATATTTGAAATGGTCTGTTCCCTAAAAATTTACTTATAAACAATTAATAAAAGGCCTTCTGGAAGTCTTGGAATGTTCATGATACAAAATTTTCCCACAGAGGTAGAAAGCGGAGTCACGTCCTGACACCAGTGATGCACATATCCATACCTTGTGCGGGGTGCCCTCTGGATCCATAGACCTCTATCACACTGTGCAAAACATTTTCTGGCCTGCCAAGTGGAATGAGTTACAATAAGCCCTTCCCAGCCTTGTTGAACTAGTAAGACAGAATGTGAACATGAAACGCTAGTTGTGCCTTTGTACATGGGCCTCAGGACCTTATAAGTGAGCTTCTAGGAGTTCTTCTTAGCTGACTCCTGCTGGGAGTCAGTGAAAAGCATTTGCTTGTATGGACAGACTCTGAAAAGATAGAGCAAAGTTAATATAAGGCTGTAGCATCAGGCCATTGAATGTTTATAGAAATCCTTAAGCATCCAAGGTTGTCTCATTGGTAGAAGGCTGAAAATTCCCATGCCAGGAATCTATCTATGGTCCTAAGCGAGGTACATATAGGTCACATCTGTTACTGCACTGCTTTCTTCCAGTGTTAATCAGGTATATTGTGTTGGTTCTGCACTGGGAAGCGCTAATTAACTTCTAAAACTTTTTTGGAATTTTTGCCATTATTCTTATGGGAACCTCTGAGCCCACACATAAAACTGTGAATCTTCAAGATCGCCCCTTTCCAAGGGAATTTGAGAGTCAATTTCCTCACCTGTCTGGGTAAAAACTCCAAAGAATTTCTGGAAAATGTTGCTGCCTAATTTTGAAACCACTACCTGAAAATAATTTAGGAGGATTTATTTTTCCTTCTTACTGTCTTGGGGATCACTGTTTCACAACCTAACTTTTCCTAAAGCTGGAGTCTTTTAACTACTGATTCAGGTTTTGTTGATGGAGACAGCATTGAGTGGTTCTTATTACAATGATTTTGCATTTAATGGATCCCTCATGCATGGAGGTTTTTGTAAATCAGCCATGCTCATCCCCTCCTTCCTGCTTGCTTAGTAGGAGAGCACTGCTGATTCCTCAGCTTAGCCATCATCTGTGAGGACTGGTTCTCCTGCTCGGACACATGGTTTCTTTCACAGGTTCTAGTCACCATTTACTGGCTGGGCAAAGCTGCAAATAGCTGCACGTCCTACAGTGGTACTACCCTGAACCTGAAGGAGTTCGAAGGATTGTTGGCTCAGATGAGAAAGGTAACTTGGCTTTTCTTCTCTATGCCATGAGGCTGGACCAAGGTGACACATTTCCTTATTTTTTAAGATTATTACAGTTCCACATGGTAAAATTGTATGGGCCGAAGGTGTCACATATTCAAGGAAATGACTGTTTATCTTACCAATGATGTCTTTGCCTCTTGTGCCTCATGCCTACCTGAATTTTATCCTTTGGGGAATGGAAGGAAGATCTGAGCTGGATCCAACTTTAATTTCAGAAGAGCAAATTTAATCTTTCAGTATTTAGCTTTGTATGCAGAGGAGCTTGTTTTCTTGGAGGAATAATTCTTGGATTAAACAATGCAGTATTATACAAAAATGCGTATGTGCTCTGTGTTTTCGGCCTAAAGGTCACTGTGCTTGCCCAACAGAACCTTGGTGTGGGAGAGTAATGCCAGCCACGTCCTGGCCTCTGTGCTTGCCCTAGATGAGCTGTGACAAATGAGGAGCATTCTGTTCTGATCTGTGTTGCTTTTGGATGTTGGATGTGAATGACTGAGAAATTTGGGAAATATTTATAAAGCTTGGTTTGTTTATTTGATAAAACATTTTGATTAAACATTATTAAAAGCTTGATTTATTTATTTGATTATGGAAAAGCGTAAGGCAGGATCTTGCCAAGGAAGCAGTGGAATGCTTTGTGTGGACCTGCCTGCATATTCCTTCCTGAGGCGCAGCGATCTATCTAATTTGTCCAAAGTGTTAGTAATATGCATCCAGGTCTTTTGGATGGGGGTGTTTTACAGTACTACAGTTGAGGCTTTGCTCTTTCTCATTTCTCTAACATACAAAATAAAGAAACTAGTAAGACCTCACTAAGAGATATTCAGTGGTTTACAACATTTCTTTTAATATTTAAAGCAAGAAATTTCTTCTACCTTTCTTATAATTTGCTCTTCTGTTCTTAAATTAAAACTACCAGTCTTTACTGGCCAAAGCCAGTCTGGCTTATGTACTAAGAAGCAGACAAAGTGTTCATACTGATCATGACACATATATACAAAGTTCTTCAAATTCTTATAAATACAAACACACCCTCATGACAAAGCTCAACATATTGTTTCTTAATTTCATTTGTCCTTTAATTTTCCCTCTCACACTATCCTTAGCAGAACTACAAAGGCAAATTCTAGTCTGGCTATGAGAAGTCTAAATGTTTGTTTTTCTGTTAAATTTAGAATTGAACAATAATGTATGGGTCATTGGTTTAAGCTGTTTGAAGCTTTACTTCATAATTCCCTCCCTGGACTGTCTTAGGCTTTGGTTTTTTTCTCATCATTGAACTTTCTCACTACTTGTCTAGGTCCTCTATAATCTGACTGACTATTGGCTCCTTCACCTTACCTGGTTTCCCTTTCTACTGAGACAGTTACCTTAGCTGCCTAGAAGTGACTTGATGTTAACAGCTGCTACCCTCTTTATTTTTTTTTATTTCAATTTCTTTTTTTTTTATTTTTCAACAAATAATACACTGCATATATTCTTCTTAGTGGTTAATTGCTGTACAAGATGCAGACCTGTGATCCTATTTACAAACACCATTAGAACAAATCATTCTATTCATTAACAGAATGTAACTATATATCTATCCCAACCACTTTGAATACACAGATACAAAATGGACATTCATCTGTATACCCCATTTTTTCTAAGTTCCGTTATTGAATATTATAGGTGTGTAAACTCAGCAAAATATTCTAAAAGAGTCCAGTAGCCCATAATAGCATTGGGTCTTCTCTTTAACTGGCAATGTCAGAAATTATTGACCTGAGTCCCCCACAGCTCAACTTAACAGCATGGCTTTATTTCTTATAATTTCATCTTCATACTTTTCTGCTGGATGGTTAAGACCAAGGTAAAGCAGGACCTGTGCAACAAGAGTTGTAGCTTTTTGGTCTGAGAAGGTCAGTGAAATGCCCTCAGGATTTGTCCTGAGATCCTGTACCTCAGATTGTAGAACCTTTATCAGTGCAGCCATGTGGATGAGTCACGGTCAATGCTTGGCCAATGTGCTCTCTGTGAAAGCCTGAGAGAGTATCTTCTCCCCATGTGACTCTCCTTAGGCCCACTCTATGTCATCGATCACTTTCCTCTTTGGCCCCATAATCTTCTTGATCAGAAAATTTGGGACATTACCGAGGTACATGACCTTACAGTACAAGTTCTCATATGTCCTGAGTCTTAATTGACCTTAGAAGGCTAGGGCCAAAATGTTGGCTTTCCTTGTATCCCTCCTTTTTCTCTAATTTTGGTCTGCAAACTTAGGTTGTTAACCATCCAGAAGAAAAGCTTATTGTTATTATCAAACGATTTGGGCTATCAATCTTAACCTCACTATCTCACTGCATTTCAAACATCTTAGGTGCTACCCTCTTTAACGACACAGCAGGACCTGATGTGGTTCAAATCCCTAAACAAAGCATGACTGGCACTAAGTAGGTCAGCTACACTATGTCCTGTCACTATACAAAGTTGGGAGTAAATGCCCCAACCCTTATGATCCAACCAAGCAGTTGGAAATAGTTGTTTTAGCTATAAATTATTGACTCATTTTATCACTTAGGATTGGGTTCAAGTAGGAAAGAACTCCTAATAATAGCTAAAGGAAGGTACGTATTACTAAGTCATATAAAGAAAGCCTAGACAGAAGTCTGGGGGTGTTTCTGGTCTGTCCCACATCACAAGGCCTGGGGTCTTCTCTCTTCTGCATCACCATGTCTTCTGCCCTGCTAGTTCAAGCTAATTGCATAGGCTTTCATGCTATGTCCACATTCAAGTCAGGGGGAAAGAGTCGGAGTGGGGACAGCAGTCAACATTTTCCCTTAAAACAAATTTCTAGGATGATCTATACTATGTCCCTGCTATGACTTGAATGTCCCCTCCTGGATTTATGCTGAAATTTAATTGCTCCTGTGATGGGTTGCGGGGTGGGACCTTCAAAAGGTGACTAGGTCACGAAGGCTCCCTCAAGAATGCATTAATGTTGTCATTGCCAAGGTGGGTTCCTTATCTTTGTCAGGAAAGGGGGTCACTTCTGCTGTGTGCTTTGTAGCCACGTCATACCTCTCTGCCTTGTTCTGTCGTCCTTGACGTTGGATTTCATGGCCCTCTAAAAAATAAGAAATATTTTTTTCTTGGGGCCAGCCAAATAGCTCAGTGAATTAAAGTGCCTACAAGCAAGTGCAGGGGCCGGGGTTTGATCCCTGGGCCTGCCCTCCTGAGTCGGTGATTGAGACTGGGCGTGGTGGTGCAGGCCCGTAATCCCAGCTCTTGGGAGGCTGTAAACAAACAGATCACTGAGTCCGATCTAGTAGTAAGACCCTGAACACCCTATAGACCCTTCTGTAAAATACAAAAAAAAAATTAAATTAAATTATAAAGAATTTTTTTCTTTATGAATTTCCTAGTGTGTGTCATTCTGTTATAGCAGCATCAAAATACTAAAATCGCCCCCTGCTTACATCCTATTAACTTGAACTTAGTCACATATTCATGCATTCTAAAAAAGTCAGGGGAACGTGGACATTATTTCAGCTGAAAGTCATGGATATTTTTATTAAAGAAGGGGATTACAAATATTGAGGGAATACTTCAGTCTCTTCTACATATTTAAACTGAGAGAAATTTGAAACATTAAAACATTTAATTGAAACATTTTATTTCACAAAGCACAATAGCCAAAAATATTTTAAACTCAATTTTCTAGTGGGAGAAATGTACCTAAGATTGCTCACTATAGGGAACCCCAGGAAGTTCTGCCTACTACATGTAAGTCCTTTTGCATAGAACCTAGCACATAATAGGTACTCACAGATTGTTGCTGCCTGTGCATACATGAGGGGTCACTGAAATAGGGTGACAGTGGCCTTTCACTGAGCCTGGGTGTGTCAGGGAAGGCCTCCCATCCAAAGGGCATTTAGACTAAACACATCTTGGTACATAATACTGAGATTGAAGAGGTACCGTAGAGACCTCAGGGGCTGGAGCTCCACGGTCATCGATGTGGTTCTTCCTCTGTGGCTTTTCCTCATTTCTTCTGATTGCTCCCTGATTTCCTTCTCCCTCCTATAGGCCCTTCTAATAGGAAATGTGGCCACCAGCATTTCCACTGCCTCTAAGTCCTTCCCCAGAAAGGCAGGAGAACACCTCCCCTGGCTCCCAGTGTACAGTTCCTGGGATGTGCTGTCCTATTCCAGTGCCAGTCACTGTGACCACTGTGTGTGGCTCACAGGGTGAGGGCATTAACAGGAAGAAGGAATAAAGAGGAGGCAACAGGATGGGCAAACTAATACAGACCCTAGATAACACTGCCGTCAACCTCTCTTCCCTCAGCCTGCTGTGCTTTTTCATGCTATTTATCATCCAACTTTATGTTCATGGTATATTTGTGTTTATTTTTTGTCTTCTCTTCTAGAAAATAATGCCCATGAGAACAGGGAGTGTGTTGATTTCTGCACAATACCCAGCACATAGAACATGCTAAATCAATATTTGTGGAATGAATCACTTCCACAATTGAGTGGGTAGGTGGAGAATAAGTGATCAGATTGGAAAATCAGAGCCCTGGACACTTTAGAGTGGGACCTGCCTACGTTACATTGTAAATCACAAAGGAAGCAGAAAATGTGGTGGGGTGCAAAGGAGGCACATGGAGATTCTCGGGTACCAGAAGACATCCACTGACCCTCGCTGGTTCTCTTTCTCACAGAAGGGGGAGAGAGAACATAGTTTAATAACAGAGATTTCATGGAAGCTAGTAATTCTCCCCTTTTCATTAGCAGTTGTACTAGAACAGCTAGCACTTAGCACAGCAGGTTTATTCCAGTCCCATTTCCCTTCCTCACAGTGCTGTGTTGAAGAAGGAAAGCTACCCAGCCCCAAGCGAAAAGCACAGGCAGTGTTGTTATTAGGCCCCAGGAAAGGAGGTCTTAGGCCACATCGCCCTTTGTGGACGGTTAGATTTTCTCCCTTCCCCTAAAAGTTCACTTTGGGGGATGCCATAAAGACCCCCAAAGCTGTGTGTGCAGTGGATGTCCACATCTTTATTTCTGGCTAGAGAGCCCACCTTTTGCTTTACCCCTTCATGGGGCACCAGGTTGGCCAAGGGTGGCCACAGTGCCTGGTTTTCACCATCAGGCTGGCTGTGACACTCACCTCCTAGCCCGTGCACTGGGCCCAAGGATTTATTCTTGGCTTTCGGCATAGTAGTGGACGTGGAAGCCTTGCTGTTTTTCTTTCCCATAGCTAGCTGTGAGAAAGCAGCAGAAGCTCCAAAAAATATGTTGATTTTCCCTTTCCTTCTGGCTCTTCTCCTGTGGTTTGTGGGGAGGGGTGGACAGGCCTTGGGGAAAACCATTCTGATACTGTTTTTTTCAAAAATCGAGTTTTATAAAATTGCACCCAGCACTTTGTAGGCATGTCACTTCCACATGGGACCAGTGGCCCACATTCCTGGGTGTCTGCCCTCTCTGATGGGTAACTGGGCCCAGGACATGTAGCTATGGGACATAAGTGGGGAAGGAGAAAAAAGAGTACCATGTATGTAAACGTGTTTTCCTAACTCAATTTAAAAGTGTGCAATTTGTGTATAGAAATTTATATGCCTCTGCTAAAGTGTCAAGGGTTCCAGTTTTCCAGTGTGATCACTTATTCTCCACTCAGTTGTGGAAGTGATTCATTCCAAAAATATTAAACTAGCATGTTCTATGTACCAGGTACTGTGTCCTGAGGACACAGTATTATGCAGAAATCAACACACTACCTGTTCTTGTGGGCATTATTTCCTAGAAGAGAAGACAAAAAATAAGCACTATAAATTTATAGTGTTTATATAGATACTAATCATAACTATGATAGATATTATTTCTCCTTCTGTATTATGAATTTTTCTCCTTTCAATACAGCAACACAGTTAACTCTCCTAGCCTCCTTTGGGGACAAATGATAGCACTGGCCCCATTTTCCAGATGAGGGCTGCCAGGGTAAAATAGCTTGTGTTAGGTCACACAGCTGGCAATGTGTAGAGCCAAGATTTAAATTCAATCTGGCTTCCTACCATGCTCTTAAGCATTACCCCAAGCAGTGTGTCTTGTGCAAAATTTATAGTTGAGTGAGCTAGTCATAAAGAACACGGAGCTAAGGACATTGTCCAGATTAGTGCCATCCCTTGTGAAAGGGGGTAGTAAATACCCAGTGGGAGAGAAGAATATCCTGATAGTAGAGAAGAAGATCTGATGGGGGACCTATAACTGCATCAAAGGGACTGACTCTTTTTAGGTTTTATCATTTGGAATTTAGGGCCAGAATCCTGTTTCAGAGTCCAAGCTTTACTACTTACTGTGTGATTCAGTCCAGTTGTTCAACTGTTCAACCTTGTTTCTGCTTCTCCCTCTCCCTCCCCATTCCCCTCTCCCTTTTTTTCTCCCTCTCCCCTCTTCCTTTTCCCCCTCCTCCT